AACAGAATTTTTAAAAAAAGATTTATTTACTGGGGCGTCTTAACGCGGCTGGGGTCCTGATCCCAGAGTCAGCATTCGGCTTCTTGCTCTGCGGGGAGCCTGCTTCTCCCTCTCCCTCTAACTGCTGCTCCACCTGCTTGTGCTCTCTCTCTGTCAAATAAAATCTTAAAAAATAAAATAAAATAAATTTATTTATTTTGAGGGGGGAGGGGCAGAGGGAGAGAATATTCAAGCCGACTGCCACTGAGGGCACAGCTGGCCCCGGTGCTCCATCTCAGGACCCTGAGATCATGACCTGAGCCAAAACCAAGGGTCAGGCACTTAACCAACTGAGGCACCCAGGCGCCCCTGGAGTCCTAAACTATTAAAAATAAAGTATGATTATATACTTTTTTTGCCTAATATGGATTAATAGCGAATACCAAGTTTCAATAAACCGTGAGATGTAGAAGTCTGCCTTAGGACTGGGTCCTGGCTTAGTCTGCTTGCCATGTGTTCAGATAAATATCCTATAAGCATCACTAGTAAAGGACATGTCAGGGGCGCCTGGGTGGCTCAGTTGGTTAAGCATCTGCCTTCAGCTCAGGTCATGATCCCAGGGTCCTTGGACAGAGCCCCGCATCGGGCTCCCTGCTCCGCGGGACCCTCTGCCTTTGCCTGCCACTCCCCCTGCTTGTGCTGTCAAATAAATAAATAAAATCTTAAAAAAAATAATAGAGGACATGTCATCTCATTTATCAAGGTGAAAAATGAGACTGGTCTGTAAAGTCTCCGCAAAACATTCACGGCAACCAGAGAAAGGTAAAACTGTAGTAACCTGAGGGAAAAGAAGTGTGAGTCAAGGTATTTAGGATGTGATTCACATATGGAGGTAACAAAGACAGTCTCAAACGTGCAAGCAGTGACAGGGATCTCCCTCCTGCAGCCTCCATCCTCGCAGCAACCTCTTCAGGTAGCAGTTTCTAGCACTGGGGGAGTCTACACAGCAGACGTGGTTTGCAGCATTTCCACCCCACTTCAACCCCAGGTCATAAAGCAAAGTAGGAAAGGTGTGGCCAGCAGCACAACAGCATGCTAACGGTGCACACGCCCTAATCACCGGAACCGGAATATGTCATCTCATGTGGCAAAAGGGACTTTGCGGAGGTGATTAAGGTCCCGAGGTGGGGGTGACCCTGGGTTCCCGGGGGCCCGGCATCCTCACGAGGCCCTCAGGAGGGGGAGGCAGAGGGTGGGAGTCCCAGAGATGGGCAGACCCTGCGCTGCTGGCGGTGAGGATGGAGGGGGGGGTGGGGCCAAGGAATTTGGGTGGCCTCTAGAAACCAGAAAAGGTAAGGGAACAGATTCTCTCTTAGGCTCTCCAAAAAGAACACAGCTTCGCCAACCCTTTGGTTTTAGACTTCCGACCTCCAGAACTGTTGTGAGAAATTGGTTGTTTTAAGTCACTAAATGTGCGCTGATTTGTTACAGCAGTGACAGGAAGCTCACATAGTGGGTCTGAAGCAGAGGAAAGCGGCTCCGGTCGCGGCACATAGAAGGCCTCTTCCCAATCTCATTTTTCCTGAGACAATTCTCAACTTTCCAGGTGCTCCTTCAACCTAATCCTGCTCCTACAACCGTCCCTCTTGGAGTGATCTGACAGTTTTTCAGAGAACAGCGACTTTGTGTTTGAAATGTAGCACTTTTTTTTTTTCCAAGATTTTATTTATTTGTCAGAGAGACAGAGCACGCACAAGCAGGGGGAGTGGCAGAGGGAGAAGGAGGCTCCCCAGTGAGCAGGGAGCCCGACGTGAGGCTCGATCCCAGGACTCTAGGATCGTGATCTGAGCTGAAGGCAGCCGCTTAATGAACTGAGCCACCCAGGCGTCCCTGAAATGTAGCACTTTTTAGATGATATTCTGATGAGAAATTTTACCCATAGGCATCCATTTGTGCCACGTTAGGAGGGCTGGTTTTTTGCACTCCTCCTAAGAGCATGGATTAACGAGAATCACAACACACTTTAAAACTGTTATGCAGCATTTCAACCGTACAGAACATGCAGTAACTTTCTGAACACTCATGTATCTACTGCTAAGCTGTATTAAATCCTATCAGTTTACCATACTCCATCAGATTTCTTGAAAGAAAGAAAACATTACAGATAGAATTGAAATACCCTGTGTATCACCTCCAGGATCCCCAAATCCCTTCCACCTCCTCCCAGAGGAAACCACAGTCACAAATTTGGTGTTTATTATTGCCATGACATACATTTGAATCCAAACACTATATATAACATTATTTTCTCTACTTTCAAAAAATTTTTAAAGTGCATTATATATTATACACACTCTGCAACTTGACCTTTTTATCCTACAAAGGCTGCTTAATACTGGTAAGTCACAATACAGGTTTCACTGTAATGTTTAATGTAATAAAATAAAATACTAAAAGACACCGAAGCAGGAAATACACCTTCCAAATTACCAGAAAAGAAACACATTCCACCAATACCATCAATAGAGAAGTCAGAAAATAAAAGAAGCTTCAAAAGTAAGTGACATAAAGTACATTAGAATTAAAGCCAACAACATTTATCACAGCAATAATTGGCATAAATGTGTCCTTTAAAAACAAATAGATTTTCTGCTTTGAATCCTAAAACAAAAACCAACTATGTACTAAAAATGAGAGACACAGGGAACTTAAAAAGCTGAACTTCAAAGGAGGTGAAAAATTATACCAAAAATAAACAAATTTGTTTTGTTGAAAAAGCAGAGGTGGTACTCTTAATTAAAGCAGACAAAGAGAGTCACTTCAAAATGATAAAGGGCATAATTCACAATGAAGACCTGTCACGAATTATTTACACCAAATAAAAAAATAAAAAACCAAAACAACAGAAAAAGAAGTGAAAACAACAGAAAATACAGAGGGGAAGTAAGCAAAAGAGCAGTAGGAAACTGTAACTTAATCCTTTTGAGCTAATTATCTTTGAATCAACGATCTAAGTACAGTTAAGGACCAGCTATGGTTCCCAAAGTGTAACTGAAAGAGAAGGAGCATCCGTGAAATCGCCCGGCGTGCTTATTAAAAATGCACATTACTGAGCACCAACTCTCACTTGTCAAATCTCAATCTCCTGACACGAAATTTGAGAGCCAATGATTAGTAAGATTGATTTAACAGACAAGCCAGATTCCAAAGCATAAAAACAGAGAATACAGCTTCTCCTCGATATCTAGAGAACACCTCTAAAACTCGATCACACATCACACAGGGAAACTCAACATGTCTCAATGATTCAAGACAGTAGACACATTCTCAGAACACAGCAAAATGAAAGCAGAAACTGATTAAAGATGATGGAATCTACAGAAAGCCTGCAGAAAACATCATACTCTATGGTGAAAGACTGAATGCAATCTGGAACAAAGCAAGGAGGTCTGTTCTCAACAGACCTACAATCTGGAACAAAGCAAGGAGGTCTGTTCTCAACACTCCTGTTCAGCACTGTACTGAAGGATTGAGCCAGTGCAATCAGACAAGAAAAATAATTTGTTTTTAAAGAGAGGGAGAAGGGTATTTAAACACCCGAAAGTTTAAAAAATATATATACTCTCTCTCAAAATACTTTTGAGTCAGAGAAATCAAAACAAACATTGTAGTTATTTTTTTAAGTAGGCTCCATGCCCAACGTGGGGCTTGAACTCACGACCCTGAGATCAGGAGTCACACGCTCTACCGACAAGCCAGCCAGACACCCTTGTAAATATATATATATTTTTTTAAATATGTGAAAACAAAGCTAAACTGAAGGTCTCCTCTGGTTAAATCCCTACCTTGGAGGCTCCAGTGACTCACATCTCAAATCAAATATCAGGTTCTCAGAAAGGCCCTGAGGTTGGTCCCTCTCATATTATCTATCACAGCAGCATCCTTAGTTTAAGTCCCCAAGAGCACTACCAAAATCTGTAATTATTTAATTAAAGTATGTAGTTAGCTGTTTAATGTCTATCCCAGCCCCTCACTCCATCATGGGTCTGGCTACACAATGAACCAGGCTCCCTGCGAAATGAAAAACAGTGCATCCGTGACACCCCTATGTCAGCTAGTCCTCAGAATGGGATGAAAGCTACAGACACTGCCCCAGATAACACATCATGCCCCAGCACATATTCTGCATCCAACTCAAGATTGTTCACAGAGCCCTTCAAGGAACATCCATCAGCCCAGCTAAGGTCTACACGGACTCCAGATGAGGTATCTCTACTTTGGAGAAAGGCAACAACACCGATGTGATCAGGTGCCACTTAGTTGAAAGATCTGACAGGCAACCATCCTCATCAGCTCCAGAGAGAGGGAAAGATTCAGATGAAAGTCAGATGGCTTCCAAGGAGAATTTAGAAAACACAGCTCCCCTTGAACAGGTTGTTCAAGTTCAAATCCTGGCTCTGCCACTTTCTAGTCGTCTGACTTTGGACAAGTTACCTTATTTCTGTTTCCCCTTCTGTCATACAGAGATGCGAACAGCTACCATCTCATGGGGTTGTTCCGATTAAACGAGGAACTGCATATAAGAGCCAGAGTGATGCTGGAAATAGAGCAAGCAACCAGTAAATGTTGACGTTGATGGTGATGATGCACATCAGAGCTCGTGGTCTCTGCTCTGCCAAGTCCACCTCACAGATGGGACTTCTCCCAGGCCATCAAAGGCTGCTTCGCTGACCTACTGCATTGTATCCTTCCCATCATGGCGTCCACAGTCCACCCTGACTGTCCAAAGAAACTGGATATATCCCTTGGCATTGTCCGATTTCTACTGATTACCAATACAAAATGGCAAATACCAAAGAAAATAGCAAATTGTTTGGCAATACCAAACAAAATGGCAAAAGGCAGACAATCACACATAATCAGAAAACTCTGACAAATAAACTCCGTTCATTCCTCCACCTCTCTGTCCGGCCTTTGTCCACTTATGTACATATTTTGGCTTCACTGGATAGAATCACACATACTATTTTGCACTCTTTATTTTCCACTTTGCATCCAAAGCTCCTTCTGTGTTAGCATACATTCTGCATTGCCATAGCAGGGCAAGAAACAAGTTAGGACCTAGCTAAGTGACCAACAGGGGCAGAATGACTATGTAAAATATTGAAACCGATTATTGAAACAATAATACTGAATTTTCAAACAAAAGGTTGAAACAGAATACCTTTTGTTTCAACAACTAAATTAATGTGACAATTCTTAGCAAAATCCCACTGCATGTTAGTGTTCACATTTATTAATCTCTTCCAAAAGGACAGGCATTGGGCATAGCTCAATGGCAATTCTCCCCATTAAAAAGGTCCCTTCTCAGATCTGGACCTCAGTGTTTTTCTTCAAGAATGTGGCATACACCTACTTCTTTTCAAATAGTACATCAGAAGGGCAAAACCTATCCACACTTAAGTAGTAGAGTGCTAAAAGTCACTTTGCAGAGCAGCAATAATATCTAAAATCCAATAAGGTAGCTGCTCTGATAGAAAGCTTTCCCACAATCAATTATTTTATAGGTTTTCTGACTAGTGTGAGTTTTCTGATGGGTGATGAGGGATGAGCTCTGGCTGAATGCTTTCCCACATTCATTACAGCTATACGGTTTCTCTCCAGTGTGAGTTCTCTCATGCCTAACGAGGGAAGACCTCTGGCTGAAGGCTCTTCCACACTGATTACATTCATAGGGGTTCTCACCAGTGTGAGTTCGCTCGTGTTGGTTAAGTGAGGAGCGATCACTGAAGGCCTTTCCACATTCATTACATTCGTAGGGCTTCTCACCAGTATGTGTTCTCCTGTGCAAGATCAGGTAAGAACTCTGGCAGAAGGATTTTCCACAGTCTTTGCATTTATAGGGCTTTTCCCCTGTGTGAATCCTCCGGTGCTGGGTAAGAGATGAAATCCTGTTGAAGGCTTTCCCACAGTCACTGCACGTGTAGGGCTTCTCTCCAGTATGAGTTCTCAAGTGTCGTGTGAGGGTTGAGCTGTGCGTAAAGGCTCTCCCACATTCCTGACATTCATATGGTCTCTCTCCTGTATGTATTCTCTGATGTTCACTCAGGGAATGCCTCCGATTAAACATTTTCCCGCAGTGGTAACATTCATAGGGTTTCCCCACCGTATTAATCGTGGTGTGTGTTGTAAGAGCCGTACCATGACTACATGACTCCCCACTTTCTGCATACATACAGATTCCAGTTCTTTTGTGTTGAACAAGGGGACTGTTTGGGCTGATGTCTTTTCCACCTTCATTCCCTTCACAGGGCCTCTGGTCTGAGTATCCCATCTGATGATGTTTTAAGAACAGATCAGCTACCAAACTCTCAATATCAAGATCACAGTCATGGAAATGTTTTCCTACAAAACCTCCTTGTGATAAAGCAAGGTCTAAGTTCATACTACAGGTTTCCCCAAACTCACGCCAGGCAGTGGTCTCCTTTGGAGCAAATGCCTCTGCTTGGGTATATGCCATTTGCCTCAAAAGCCTGTGGGAGTCTTCATGGTTCTCCTCCAGCTGACCACATGCCCAGTGTTCTCTGGGGAGCTTTATGATATTCATACCACTGGCTGGTTCTTCCTCCAAAACCACCTTCTTATAAATTGACTCTTGGCTTTTCAGACTAGTCTCCAAATCTGAAATAAATTAAGGGGGTGGGGGGGGGAGAAACATTTAACTTAATAATAGTGGGACAAAAGTACTTCCAACATACACAAGGCACATGTGAATTCATGTTCAAATATCAGCACTCAACACGGGGGAAAACAGGAAAAGATCCTAAGGACAGGAAGCAGTGTAAGAAGCTGGACAATGATGAAAAATGGGAGAAAAAAATGTAAATATAGAAGGAATGGCTCTACAAAGGAGGGAGAAGGAGAATGGCAGAGAGAAAGAATCATCAAGAAAGCAGACAGGGAAGAGAAGCAACAAGAAATACAGGTAGAACAGCTTCAAGAAAGAAATGGGATATCTTTTCTCTGCACCCACAGCGGGTGGTAGAAGCCAGTGCATAGGGTAAGGTTGCCGGAGATGAACCGAAGGTATCTGAGAAAGAGCAACCAAAGACCTCAACCTTCTCCTTACAGAGCTCGGGCCTCTGTGGAGAGATCTCTGATCTGCAGTCCCCAAGATGCCACCCCCACTCAATGGCTTGTATCTGCCTGGCTCTCACCTGAACAGGAGGTTTGGGGAGTTCCTTGTGGCCCCATCCACATGGCTTCTCCTGGCTCCAAGTGGGAAGGCACCACTGGTAAAAAGAGTGGACACCCCGCCCATGGGGAAGGACTGGTGGCCGGAGAGGCTTGTGTTGGGGAAAGTGTGCCATCGTCAATGCCTGTATCAGAACTTTGGTTCTTCAAGGCTCCTGAAAGAGACAAGAGTACACTGGAGAGGTGGCATGTTGACCAAGCTGACCAATTTTCCTGATTAAAAACCTGTGGATCTTACATTTCCCCAAGAAAGATCTACAAATGGCCACCAAGCACACGAAAAGATGTTCAACGTCATTAACCATTAGGGAAATGCAAATCAAAACCACAGTGAGACATCACTTCATACCTAGTAGGATGGGTTTGATTTTTTTTTAAAAAGCAAAAGCAGAAAATAAGTCTTAGAGAGGATGTGGAAAAATCAGAATCCTTGTGCATGGCTGTTAAGATGGTGCTGTGAAAACCAGCTTGGTGGTTCCTCAAAAAGGTAAACATAGAATTACTGTTGGACCTAGCAATTCCACTTCTGGGTATGGACCCAAGGTTGCTGAAAGCAGGGAAGTGAAGTACTCTTTGCACACCCACATTCACAGCGACTGAAAAGTCGAAACAACCCAAGTGTCCATCTATGGACAAGTGGATAAATAAAATGTGGCCCATCCAAACAGTGGAATATTATTTAGCCATAAAAAGTAATGAAATTCTGCTGAAGGCTTTCCCACAGTCACTGCACGTGCGAGGGTTGAGCTGTGCGTAAAGGCTCTCCCCAACCCCTGCCACGATGTGGAGGGACCCCGAGGACACCGGGCTCAGTGAGAGGAGCCGGACCCAGAAGGACACATCCCACAGGACCCTACTCCCAGGAGGTCCCCAGAGGAGTCCCATCCACAGAGACAGACAGGAGAGGGTGGGAGCCAGGGCTGGGGCAGGGGGTGGGGACAGAGTCTCCGTGGGGGGAGATGGAACGTTCTGGAGACGGAGGGTGGGGGTGAGGAGTCCGTGCTTAGTGAGTATAGGGTTTCTCTCTGAGGTGATGAAAAGGTTTTGGAAACAGCGCTGATGGTCCTACAACATTTTGAATGTAATTACTGCCTCTGAATTGTATGCCTAAAAAATGAATTAAGAAGGCAAATTTTACGTTACATGTATTCTACAACAAAAAAAATTTTTAATGGTGACTCTGTAGCCAAGAGGACTCAGGGACGTTATCTCAGACTAAGGTGCGAGGTGCGTCTCAACAGCAGCTTGGGCAATCATACAACGAAGAAATCAGGCCATTCTCTGCATTGAAGAGCCCAGTGAACCATGCGCCCCACAGGGGCAGGAACCACGGCCGCCGTATTCACCCCACAACGCCCACTTCCTAACCCAGCTCTGGACGCAGTGTGGACGCTGAGTGAGCGTGAACGGAGGAGTGGGTGGATGCGCGCGGCTGGTCTTACCCAGGGCGGCCAGGTTTGCGCAGGTGTCCAGCATCACCTCTCTGTAGAGCCTCCTCTGCGCAGAATCCAGCATCGCCCACTCCTCCCGGGAGAAGTCCACGGCCACATCCTCCAAGGTCACTAACTCCTGAAACATCACATCGGTTCTGCTCAGGCACGCCCCCGCCCCCCATCCGCGGTCACAGGAGGAGCACAGAGGGAGGTGGTCCACGCGGAGCGGGTGCGCAGCCCAGAGGTCAGACTGCCAGTGCAGGACGGCCGGAGGGGCACATGCGGCCCATTTGCTGTTGTTGTTGTAAAGACTGATTGATTGCTTGACTGTCAGAGAGAGAACGCGCACAAGCAGGGGGAGCGGCAGACAGAGGGAGAGGGAGAAGCAGGCTTCCCGACGAGCAGGGAGCCTGATGCGGGACTCGATCCCACGACCCTGGGATCATGACCTGAGCCGAAGGCAGATGCTTCATTGACTGAGCCACCCAGGCGCCACAAAATTAAAAGTTTCTGTGTTTCTCCCACCCAGAAGAAAAAAGTTAGCACCCAGGGCTGCCACAAAATTTTAAAGTGGGAACGCCTGGGTGGCTCAGTCGGTCAAGTGTCCGGCTCTCGATTTCGGCTCAGGTCATGATCCCAGGGTGCTGGGCTCCCTGCTCTGTGCGGAGTCTGCTGGAGATTGTCTCCCTTTCCCTCTGCTCCTCCCCTGCTCACACTCTCGCCCTCTCTCAAATAAATAAAATATTTTTTAAAAAAATTTTAGATAAAGTAGGAAAAAACAGGCTTTTTTCCAGGCCAGCAGCCGCTGCTGCAGCCTTCCCCAGGCCCCCTCACATTCCTGCTGCCTTCTTCCCAGGGAGCTCTAGGGTTAACCCTGCAACTGCTGAACTCACTGCAAGGCTTTGAGTAAATATGCAATTAAATAAAAAGGAAAACAATTTTAATGGCTTTGAACTTCGTGACTATTACATATGGATGTACAATTAAAAATGAGTGTGAAATTTCACTTCATATTTATTAAATATAAAAACATATTTATATTTAATATTTATAATAAATAAATATTGTTTAAAATTATAATAAGTAAATATATATATAAATATATTCTTATAATTCCATAATGGATCATCTCAGTCAGGGAAGACTGGAGAAAAAGTCTCAGTGGGACACAAGTTTTTTGTTTTTTGCTGCCTGGTGAGCAGGTTAAAATGTACGCTCTTTAAATACCAAAACCAAGTCTCCGTGACTCATGATTTGTATGACTTATACCTATTGGAAAACAGCATGAAGAGAGAGGCGATCCCCAGATGGAGAAATGATGTTGGGGTTTTAAAGACTCAGGTCTGAGCCGCTAAGGGGCTCGTGATCCCGCGTGGCCTGGAGAGATGAGGACCCTCCAGCCTGACTGCCTCGATTTGAGTGGCTCCATTTATGTGCACATGAAGGCAGACAAGAAAGGAAGGGCCACTGCCCAGCCCTGTGGCATCTCAGCTTTGCCGCTGCTGAGGGACAAGCCGCTGGCTTTGTTTGGAACCCTGACCTCACAGGTCCTGGGCCCAGCTGAAACCTCACAGTGTCCCCAAGGGCTGTGTCAGGCCTGAAGCAGGTGTGCCTGCGATGACCAGGACTTTGATGCAGGGGCCAGAGCGGATTGAAGACCTCTCTCCAGGGGGCCCCAAATAGGACAACATCATAGATACTGCCTGGACATCTTGGTCACTCAGAAATGACCCCAGGAAAGGGCTTGTTCTCTGAGGGACCACCTGAACTCGAGCTGTTGGTCACCTCTGTATTTCTGATGCAGACACTGATCACGTTCCCAAAGCTATGAGTTACGGGACAGGGACCCCGCCTACCACTCTCCACAGATCTGCTGTCCCAGCTGATGGTGGCTTCTGCTCCCCCTCTCTCCTGATGCTCATGCCCCAGAAGGCGGCTTCCCACCAAATGCAGCTGTCCCCAGGCTTCGGAAGGAAGGGACCCTGACACCTGCCACGATGTGGAGGGACCCCGAGGACACCGGGCTCAGTGAGAGGAGCCAGATACAGAAGAACAGACACATCCCGCAGGACCCCACTCCCAGGAGGTCCCCAGAGGAGTGTCCCGTCCACACAGACAGAGAGGAGAGGGTGGGAGCCGGGGCTGGGGCAGGGGGTGGGGAGTCCGTGCTTCATGGGGACAGAGTCTCCGTGTGGGGAGATGGAAAGTTCTGGAGACGGAGGGTGGGGGTGGTCGCAGGACCATATGAGTGTGCTTCATGCTGCGAGCTATGTACTGAAAGTGGTTACGATGGTGAATTTCATGTTGTGTGTATCTGACCACAATTTTGAAAATTATTTTTAAATAAGGATGGCATAGCTCTTCCCGCCATGGGGGAAACGTGCGGTCTTCAGGCCACAAGGACACGCTCCCAGCCCAGGAAGGAAGCACAGCTCTCCTGTGGGGAAAGGTGTGCTAAATCCACTGTACGCCTTTCCTTAGACACCCAAGAAGCAGGGGTACTCGGACCCAGATGCTCATGGGCAGTGCTCCCTCGGTTCCCAGGTAGCAAGGAATGCAAGTCTGGTAGGAGCACTTCCCCTGACACACTGGGCATCTTCAGGGCCGGAGGAAGTCCCCACTCACCTGGGGCCATGGGGGCAGGTAGCCAGCAGCCATTCTCTTCTCTTGGGAGCAGTTTCCAAGGCAGGCAGAGCTGTGGGAGAAGGGACCGTGAAGCCCAGGCCCAGACCTGTCCCCAGTCCCCAAATCCTGGACCCGGAGACCTCTGCAACCAATCCAGGTGTCCCCCCAACAGTGTGGTCAACAGAAGCCAGGACAGAGGCCATGGGCCTTAACGGCTACTTAACCCAGGCTCAGACGGAGAGACTGAAGGTCTCAGAAGCTTATGGAACGCACCCACTCCGTTGCAAAGCAGTCTGTGTGAATGTCCTGGGGCCACTGAAACAGACGACCACAAGCTGGGAGGCTTAAGACCACAGAGACTTACTCTCTCACATTCTGGAGGCCACAAGTCAGATCAAGGTCTCAGGTCCGCACCCCCCTCCAGCGGCTTCAGAAGAGGGTCCTTCCTGCCTCTTCCAGGTTCTGGGCACTCCAGCTGGCCCTGGGCGCGTGGCCACGTCCCTCCAGTCTCTGCCTCCATGGTCACATGGCTGTCTCCCGAATCTGTGTCTCTCTTCTTATGAGGACACCAAGTCATTGGATTAGGCCCGCCTACTCCAATATGACCTCGCCTTCACTAACACCATCTGCAAAGATCCTATTTCCAAATAAGCTCACATTCTAAGGTTCCGGGTGGACATGAATTTTGTGGGGAACACCATTCAACCTAGTGGGACCACCCAGGCTCAAACTCTGGAAGGCTCAGTTCAGAGCCCACAGGCGTCCCCACCCTGGGCATGTCTCAGATTCATGTCTGCCTTCCCACAGCCCAGCTGGCTTCCTGGACTCATTCCCTGACCCAACTTTAGTTGGGCCACTCTGAACCCTCCTTTCAGCCAGGCCTTGACCTCTGAGCTTCTGAGTTTAGTTCTGCATTACCCAGTTTTAGCAAGAGCCCCTGCCCTGTGTCTGATCCCCCAGAGAGCTGGCCGGTCCCCCCATCCCCCGGCCAGGTGGCGTGGGGATCACCCAGCCTGCCTGCAGCAGCAGCCCCATCAGCTCTGTTTAGCCAGAGTCCCCCTGATGTGCCCTCTTGGCAAGTGCCCGTCCACTGACCCCCTCCTGCTCCATTGCCACATACCCCGGCTTGTCCACGCTGCATCAGGGATGGAGCCCCGGTCCACTGGGAGGTCTCTCCCCACTGCCACAGGGCTACTGTGGCACGCTAACGAGTATCTGGCTCTGGCCCTCAGTGACGGCACCCTGAAGCAGTCCCCACTCTGTCCCCACTCACCACAGGTGAGTGACCTGCCCACTCTGGGTGCTGTCATCCATGTGTAAACTCTAAACTCTCACGCAGACTCACGAGGAATGAATGGACACTTGTGATGGGCTTGATCTGGATTCCTGGATGAAAACTTCAAAAAAATCACTGCCCCCCCCCACATTAACAGAAAATCACCACAGGAACACCCCAGTAATCATACTTGCAGACAAGACCCACCGATGCACACAATTCGTTACTGGGGAGACTCCAAGGAGAGGCGGGACATTGGTCATGCCTCCAAAATATGCTAATTAGCACCCTGGTTTTAACACATCTGTAAACCCTTCCATGTTTCTCCTCCAGGAGGTGGAGCTTCGCCTCCCCAGACCCCTGCTTTCCATGTGGGTTGACTCAGTGACTTGCTTCCAATAAACACAGCAGATCAAGGGAGACACGGCAACCTTATTCCCGGAGAAACCTGTCAGACCCCACCCGAGCCAGGTGATCAAGGCTGGAGTCACCGGCGCCGAGGACTGGACGGCAGATATCCCCTGATGTGACATGACACCACTGGGGTACCCTCCCCCAAAACCATAACCCCAGTGTAATCGTGAGGAAACATCAGACAAACTCAACCCATGGGACCTTCTACAAACACCTGGCCAGTGCTCTTCAAAAGCACCAAGGTCATGAAAGACAAGGAAAGTGTGAGAAACAGTCACAGACTGGAGGGGCCCAAGAAGAAAGGCAAGGTGACAAAATGTCCCGCAGGACCCTGGATGGGTTTCCTGGGCCAGAAGGGAGATGGAGTGGGAAATCTGGGGAAATCTGAAAAAGCCTGCCATGTAGTTTAATAGAACAGAACCAGCGTTAATCTCTTGGTTGGTTGATGCTTTTTTTTTTTTCTTTTTTAGTGTGTGGTAAGAACACCCAACATGAGATTTATCCTCATGACCCATTTTAGGTGCATGATGCCCTATCGCTGACTCATCCTGCTGAACCGAGACCTGATACCGCCCACCCCCTCCCGTCCATGCTCCGGGTCGCATCTTCGTTGCGATCAACGCCCCACAGTAGGTGTCGATGACATGAGGAGAAGCATTCCCAGTAAGGGGTAAGGCGGTGTTAACCCTGGGGTACTGCAAATCGGTTCTTGGGGTGGGGAGGGGAGGTCAGAAGAAGTGCTCTTTTTATGTATAAGGCACAGATGCGTGTTCAGTACAAAGGTGGATACACGCACACCTATACATAATGCACTGTTTGGTATCGAAGATCTGTGACAATGCCGCATCCAGCAAGTCTGCGGGGCCATTCCTCCCACGGCGTTTGCTCACTTCGTGTTTCTGTGCCACAGCAAATCTCACGAGCTTATTACTGTGGTTGTTATGGAGATCAGTGGTCAGTGATGATGCCTTGCAGAAAGCTCAGATGACGGTTTGCATTTATTAGCAAGAAGGTATTTTTAAATTAAGGCACGTACATGATATTTTTAGACATCACGCTACCGCACACCTAATGGACTCCAGGACGGTGTAAACATAACTTTTATGAACCCTGGGAAACCCGAAATGCACACAACTCGCTTTACTGTCGGTGATCTGGAACCGAACCTGCAGTATCTCCAATGTAAGTCTGTGTACATGTAACTTTTGTTACGGGCTAAACGGTGTCCCCTCCAAATTCATACCTTCAAGTCCCAACCACAGGACCTCAGAAGGTGACTGTATTTCAAGATAGGGCTCTTAAAGAGGTAATTAAGTCAAAATGAGGTCATTAGGAATGGGCCCTGGTCCCATAAAACCCGTGTCCTTATAAGAAGAGAGGACTGGGTTGGGGGGGGCCTGGGTGGCTCAGTAGTTAAGCATCTGCCTTCGGCTCAGGTCATGATCCCGGGGTCCTGGGATTGAGCCCCACATGGGGCTCCCTGCTCAGCGGGAAGCCTGCTTGTCCCCCTCCTTCCTGCTGGTGCTCTTTCTCACTCTCTCTGTGTCTCTCAAATAAATAAATAAAAAATAAGAAAAGAAGAGAGCATTGGGATACAGACACACACAGAGAAGACCATGTGAGGGCGCAGAGAGGAGACAGCTGTCTACCGCCAAGGAGAGAGGCTTCAGAACGAAATCAACCCTGTCGACACCTCGATCTCAGGCCACCGGTTCCAGGTCTGGGAGAGAACCGAGCTCTGTGGTGTGAGCCTCCCCGTCCGCAGGGCTCTGTGGCAGCCCCCACACACTGATGCCTCTGTGGTATTAAATCTTCGTGGGGGGGCTGATCAGTATCAATGTGCTGGCTTTGATCACTGTTGTGAGAGATGCCAATGGGGGAAGCTGGGTGATGGGTACAGGGGGCTCTGCCCCACTTCTGCAACATCTGTGAGTCTATAATTAATTTGCAACTAGACATTTAAAAAAATAGCCTCCTGCCAGAAAGAATTTCACAGGGAAGGGCAATTGGGACACAAGAATCCCCACAAGGTTCCTTGGGGCGAGGGCAAATGAAGAAGCCAGGCTGAGAGTGTGCACGAGGGGGGAGCTATGGGGGGCTCCGTGTGCCATCTGCACACCTCTTCCCCAAATCCCTTCAAAATGAAAAGCTCGCTCAAGTAAAGACGCTTCTCCCAAGGTGATACTCAGATGACCGAGGGGCACACGGAAAGATGCTCAACATCATGAGTCATTGGGGAAACACAGATCAAACCCACAGTGAGGTAGCATCTCGCCCCCAGCAGGATGACTAGCGTCAGAAAGGCAAGAACAGGGGTTGGGGAAGATGGGGAGAAATGGACCCCTTGGGCACCACTGGTGGGCATGGACAACGGGGCTTCCGCCATGGAAGACAGTCTGGTGGTTCCTCGAATGGTTAAACACAGTTACCATGGGACCCACGCTCCCTGCCCAAGAGAAACAAAAACATACGTCCACACAAACATGTGTTCACAAATGTTCACGGCAGTGTGACTCACAGTCACCCAAAGGTGGAAGCAACCCAAAGGTCTGTCAACGGATGAATGGGTAAACACATGTGCTCCGTCTACACAGCAGATTGTTATTCAGCCTTAAAAAGAAGTGTAGCCCTGACACACACTACGTGGACCGACCCTGAGGCCACGACACTCGGGGAGGGAACCAGACACAGAAGGCCCCACGGGTGTGAGTCCACGTGGGTGACACGTCTCCAGAACAGGCTCATCCATGAACAGGAAGTAGATCTGTTTTTGCCACGGCCTAGAGAATAGGGCTGGGAGGTAACGGCTCATGGGGACAGAGTTTCTTGGGAGAATGATCAAAGGATCCAGAATTAGACAGACATGGTGACTGCTCAACTCTGTGCATATACTGTAAGGCACTGAACTGCATACCCTAAATGAACTAACTGTATGGTGTGTGGAGTACATCTAAATAAAACTACTACCGAAAAAATAAAACTAACAAACCTGAAAAAAAAACTTGTCAACAGTTAAATATACGTAACTGTATATATAACACACACATGTAATATAAGGCAAGACGGCAAAAGCTGGCAAGGATATACACCAAATGGTATCATGGCTAACTCCAGGAGGGACCAGTAATTGCTTAAATTATCAAGGAAGGGGCGCCTGGGTGGCTCAGTCGTTAAGCGTCTGCCTTCGGCTCAGGTCATGATCCCAGGGTCCTGGGATCGGGCCCCGCATCTGCTCCCTGCTCCGCGGGAAGCCTGCTTCTCCCTCTGCCGCTCCTCCTGCTCGTGTTCCCTCTCTCGCTCTGTCTGTCAAATAAACAAATTAACTAAAAAAATTTATCAAGGAAGACATGATCCGTGATGCCAACTTCTTTTGCAAACCATTTATGAAGTGAAACTGAGATAAACTAGAACAAAAGCTTGACAACCTGAGCGGGAAGCCAGAGAGGACGTGCTGCAGAATTCACCAGAGAGCTGGCTCCGACTCACTGGGAGCACGTGGTCTCAGCTATGCAGGGCAGAGGGCCCGCTGGCCAGCCCCCCGGGGCATCAGGTGTCTCTCTAGGACACACGTGCTCCACCCTGAGCAGGCACCTGCTGGTGAAAACACTGCCCGGTGCTGAGTCAGGTGCTCTACAAGATACGCTCAAGGCCTGACCTTCCAGTACCCGTGAAAGTGACCTTCTTTGCAAACAGGAAATCTGCAGATATGACTAAGTCATCCTAGAGTCGAGTGGGTCCTGATGCACAATGACGGACGGTGTCCTTAAAAGGGACACGGACACACAGGGAGAAGGCCATGTGGCAGTGGACGCAGAGACGAGTGACACAGCTTCGAGCCAAGGGATGCCAAGGGTTGAGAGGGACCCTCAGAAGCTGTAAGAGGCAGGGAGCATCCTCTCCTCGGGCCTTCGGAGGGAGCAGGGCCCTGCTGACCCTTGACTTCGGACTTCCGGCCTCCAGAATGCGAGAGTGGAGGTTTCTGTTGTATTGGCCACGCAGGCTGTGGTGCTCTGCTCTGGCGGCCCCAGGACACTCACAAACACCAGAGGCAAACAGAGAGGGAGGGCTCTGGTCCTCGCTTTAGCCTTGTTGCCCGGGAGCTTCATGCAGGGGACGGAACACGTCTACCACCCTGGCCCCCACACTGCATGCGGTTCCGTCCTTGCTCTGGCGACACTGCAGCTCACGGCAGTGGGTGCAGGTCCCCCGGCCCCTTCCTAGCTTTTCCAGACCAATTCTCTGCCACCCTCTCAAGGTTTGAAGACCCTCCTAATCGCGGTGCATGTCAGTGGCCCCCTACGCCCCCTCCTTCACCCAGGCCTGTGGCACGTGGCTCAGGACTTTCCCTCTCAATGTCTGAACCACAGAAACTCATCCTTTCTCCACAGGAAGGCCAGATGAGGCCCGATGGGGGCTTCCTCACAAGAACAATGAAACGCACCCCAGGGAAGGGGAGAGACTGGAGGGCTTGGTGCTAGGGCACTGGCAGAATGGTCAGCTGCTTCCTCCTCCCCTGGCCGGTGCGCTGGGCATAAACGGAGTGGACCCTCGATACCACTAGAACCACAGGGCCACAGGGTAAGTCAGGGTCTACCCCCAGATATCACCCACGGTCCCCTAGGGACAGTCACTCCCAAACGAGAGCTCGCTGGTTTCGGGGATTCCATCCGCCCGAAAAGACTCCCTGTGCCTTGATGATCTGCCCTCCCGAGGCCCTAGGATGCTGCACACAACTAAATACACACCCTGAGGGGAGTGGGGAGCACGAGACACAGCTGCTGGGGCTGGGTCTCTCTGGTTCGTACCGTCTGACCCTTTGGGAATTTATTCTGCTATCTAGTGAGCAGGGATCTGACTCAGGTGTTTTTCCGGATAATTAATGTAGGGTCTCCCCCCTCCCCCCTCCCCCGGGGCGCTGTGGGCACTGGGGCTGGACCGTTCTCTGGGGCGGGGCCGTCCGGGCGCTGTGGGGTCTGAGCGGCATTCCTGGCCCCACCCCCCCGATGCCAGGCACTCCCCCCCCCGCATGACAACCACCAATGTCCCCAGACCCTGCCCACGGGGGACGGGGACAGGCAGAATCGCCCCGGGGAGACCTCTGGCTAGCCCAGGGAAGCCCGGGGGTTCCAAGCCCTCTCCGCCTTCAAGAGCAAACAGGTTCATTCCGTTTCCCTTCCAAGTCTGGGCTGGACGAGCTGTCGTCCGCTCCTGGCAGCGCGCGCCCCCGGGGGTCCCACACGGGGGCTCCCCGCAAGGAAGGCTTGGACTCTGCCGTTCTGGGAGCTGGGCGGCCTTTCCGACCGCCCCGTGCCGCCTGTCCACGGGAACGCCGAGGCCCCGCTCCCGCCCGGACCCCCGCGCAGACCCCGCACACCGGGCTTCGGGCGCGGCCGGCCAGGAAGGCGCGAAGCACCGCCTGCGGCCACGCCGCCCCCAAACGGGCGCAGGTGTCACCGGGAGCGCACCGCTCGGGCGCCACCGGCTCCCGCGCCAGCCCCGGACCCCTCCTCCCTCCGGCCCGCGCCCCCGCCCCGTTCACTCACGCCGCGCCGCCGCCGCCGCCGCCCCCGCACGCGCTCCCAGGACGGACGCGGCAGTGCGCCTGCGCACCGCGTGGCCGCGAACTACAAGTCCCAGGAGCTGCGGGTCTGGCGCTGGGTTTCCCCCGTGCCTCTGGGGCAACGAGTCTAGTCACAGCGCCATCAGCGGGCGGGAGGTGTCTCCGCAGGACGGAGAAGCTTCCTGCCCAGCGGCAGATGCGCCGAGCGCTTGGCCTGTCCCTGAATGAGGGAGAAAATGCGAGTGATGTATTTGGCACGATGCCTGAGACCTAAAGATTTGCCTATTTATTAACAAGTTATGTAAATATGTAATCCAATTTTTACTTGGTAAAACTGTTATAAGGATATTTATCAGTAATACTGATAGATGGACTTGTGTTATTAATAATATGTTGAAATAATAAAACTACCATAATTAATATAGTAATGTATCATAGGTTCATAATATATATTGTTATAATCAACTATGATATTCTGTATAATACAGTAAAATGTAACCATCTAATGATAAAATAATATCAATAAGTTATACAAATATGTGATCAATTATACATTTTAAAAATTATGATGATGATTATTGGCCCAAACCATGATATGTATTATATGTCTTTCAGTATACTATTGTTTTTCTTTTTCAAATGTTTATTTAAATTCTGGTTAGTTGATGTATCGTGCAATATTCATTTCTGGAGTAGAATTCAGTGATTCATCACTTACATACAACACCCAGTGCTCATCACAAGTGCCCTCCTTAATACCCATCCCCCACTTAGCCCATCCCCCACCCACCTCCCTCCATCAACGCTCAGTTT